CCCCCCCGCACAGCTTCCCAGGTGCCAGGAGCCCTCCTTCCAGGCGTCTGCGAGGCAGGGGGCCCGAAGAGTAGTTATGTGCCTTGCACTGTTAAGCATAATAAGAATATTTTCCCACTTAATGTAGTACATCTTTATGGTAAAACTGTTATCCTTCCTACAGTCCTGGAAAACAGATAAGAGATTGACTTGCCTAATATTACTTAGCTGCTGCTGAAATCCACATTCTAAGTATGACTTCAAGCTGCTTGTATCATCTGTTGTTCATTGCAAATATCTAAAATACTTAAAAAAGGAGATATAGTAAAGGTTCTGGGTTCAACCCCTAGTACTGTGCAAAAAAGAAAAAACAACAAAAAAAGCATATATATTACTTTTCCTGAAAAATTATTTTTTTCTAAAAACTACTATGTTTATATAGCCATTGGTCTATTTGATGACCATTAAACAACATTTATAAGGAGCTGGGCATGTTAGTACCTATCTTAGTCTTAGCTACTCAGAAGGCTGAGATTGGAGGATCAATTCAGCCCAGGAGTTAGGGACCATCCTGGACAATATAGCAAGGCTCTGTTTAAAAAATTAGTGATAGTACTGGCAAATATTTATGTCATATATGCATGAGTAAAAAAAGAGAGAATTTTATATCACATATTTTTTAAATGTATGCAGTGATCATTAACATGCTCCCCCCAACTTAAATCACCAGTGGTACATGTAGGACCGTCCCATCAGGTGCTATGCAGACCCGAGAGACGTATGAATTCTGGCCCCTTTGTGAACATTTTAGTGGGCTGGGGAGGGTGAGTGAGTGTGCACTTGGCATGTGTGTTATAGTTTGGCTTGTGTGCAGTGGTTCTACAGGTTGTCTTCTACATCCTTTATATAGGATGTGGGTTAATTTATATATAGGATATATGGGTTAATTTATATAGGATGTGGGTTAATTTTTTACTCAATTCTATCATTATATAAAAATATGTATTTTTTAAAAAGAATAAGTTAAAAAAACTTTGGGAACAGAAAATAATAAAAATGATGCTGACCCATCAGTGAACTAGATAAATATTCCTGCTTTTCTAGGTCAGCTATAAAGGACTTTCAGAGGAAAAATTTATCCTTCTATTGGAGAGAACTTCTGAATACCCATCTAGAAATAAAACACCAGACTAGGAGTTTTTCAGACTTCTAAAATACAGATATTTGCATAATTTGATAGTTTCAAGGTCAATATAAATCAGAATCCTTCTTTTAAATTTTGTTTTTTTGTGTTGATGCTTGCCAGTTTCTTATGGTAGATAACTTTATCACTAGAATTGAGGCTTCCCTAGGAAATGTTTGTTCCTCAGGGATGTCTTCTAGATGTAGTTGGCTCTTGGTGTTTATGTCTATCCCAAGAACCTACCTTCCCAGTTTATTAAGGATGAGAAGTTGCTATCTGTTTGGCTCAGCACTCAGTCCTTTTGTACTGGACTGTGTTGATGATTATGACCCCATA